ATTTTGTTTTACTTTCTGTCATATTTTAAAGACATTGACAATTGTTTTCCGCTCTTTCCCAAGTATATTGTTGGTGGTGGTGGGTTTCTTTTTATGTTTGCATTTTTCTTTTTGTTTGGGACATTAATAAAAGTTTCTGTTAAATATGCATAGAAATGTTGAGCTTTTTTTTCAATGGACATAAAAGGTGCTGGAGAAGAAGAATTATCGAAAAGTGTATAATTCAATTCCATTAAACAAAAATGTGCTCATGGAATCATTAATTTTCATTTGTAAAGTGGAATAAATAAACAATAAAAAAGTGGATCTTTATAATATGTAACCTCCAACATAAAGCTTGAAAAGGCATAGAAATTACTGCATTTTGTATTATTTTGCTTCTTTCTATAATCAAGTAAAGAGTGTAGACAACACTGTGATAACATTTCCTTTTCACAATAGAACAAATTTCAGTGAAGATTTTTGTTTTCATGTTCAGACTACATCTGAGAGAAAAATCACTATACAACCAAAGTGTAGCAACTGTCAAGAAGTGGGAAGATCACAAAATCTGTTTTTATGCGACACATTAAAAAAACCGGAACTAGAAACAATTAACTTTGTCATGGTTGAAACAGAATTTTGTGAAATTGTTAAGAATGACTCTTGAAAACTATAAAACTGCCGAAATTATCTTTCTGTTTCCCTCTTTTGTATACTTGTACAAGTAACAAACATTCTTGTTCTTTGAGGCCTTAATTTTATGTTAACATTTCTGTAATAACATCGAAGAGAGTGAGCTGAGTGGGCATTCTTATGACATCATCATTTATTGCCTTTTTTCTTTCACTACCAGGATATATGATTTATAAATATATCAAATAACTAAAATAGTTTCAAATCATTCGGCAAAATCCTCAAGATGCCACCTTAAAATGACACCTTGCTCACACATGGCAAAGATAGATTGCGTTGACTATAAATAGGCTGAGAAAAATGTCTTTCTTTGACTACAGCTTATCCTTCTTGACAATGCCACAAATGTCATTACTGTTGAAGTCAGAAACTTTGTCGAGTAGTCTGTATTGATAATTAATCTGAACAAAATCTCAACATACCGCCACCACTGATGATATGTTTAAAAAAAGCTTTCATTTCACAACAAATGCATGCAAATTCTTATGATTTTTCTAAAAGGATATGCAACAAACTTCAACAAAGTCATCCTCATCCTCAGCATCTGGAATCTATCAAAAATATTTGGGAACAAACAAACAAATAAACCTGAACGTACACTCTTGTTCTCAAAGGGTCTTCCTCAAATGCATACAGCTTTCTACAATTACATAAAAATGGTTTAATCTTTAAAATCAACATTGAGAGGACTTCTGAGCTCAAAGGTTTTGACAAACACGTTTCAATTCAAATGAAATTAATGAGAGTTGGTTTATTCCACTAATATCGAAAGACACAACTTTGTCTTCTACAAGATTACAATCTTTTCTACAAGACCAACAGAGCATGATAAGATGTCATCAGCTGATTCCAAAAAGTCTTATTATATTTCTCCATATTTAAACCAAGCCTTACAGCTCTGAAAAGATGTTCAGCCATGATGCACCTTAATAACAATAGCCTATCTTATCCCTTTCGACTGCAGGAAGAGAAGAATACAATTAGCAAAGGAGTGAGGAAACTTCATCTTAATGGGACATCAGAGATATTATTACGTATGGAGCCAAGTGACACACATAGAGAAAAAAGCCATGAGCCAAGTCATGTATGAGAGAGAAATGAGCTTTGAATATCAAGAATTTGGTACAGAACTTTGAGCTCTGAATCATAGGAGAAGCAGTTCGAGGATAATGTGTAGGGTTGAACGTTCATACAAAGATTAAAGGAGAAACATTTATGTAATTTCACCGACGAAGAAATGTTTGTTTCCAAAGGGTAATGGTACAGAGTATATATGAAACTATGTTATCAAACATAGTGGCAGTATATAAGCATTGCGGGAGCAAAACAGAGTATATTTTTGGAAAGCATTATTGAATTTTGCACATTTTCACTCAGTGTTTTACTTCACATTATTTTAGAACCAACATCAGTCATATGGCCAGCTTTTAAGTTCATAAAAAGCATATAAATAGCATCCTCAGTAAGACAAAACTCCCAATCAACTGTTTTTTTTTGGGTTTTTTTTTGTTTTTTTATAGTAGAGGGTTTTATGGCGCTCGCAATTGCATAAGGTCATATGAGCGCCACAATCAACTGTAGGAAAAAACCTAAAAAAAGACAATGAAATTTCCATCATTCCCCAATTTGTGCAAAATCAATTTATGTGATGTAAACGGAAACAAAACAATTGAAAAGTAGAATATATAAGTTACTGGGATTAGTAGTAGGGCCTATATCAGAGCACTTCACACTACCCACTTCAACAACTAAGAAAGATTTGTCCTCAGAATTTGGGGGCTGAAATAAAAAGGTGGTTCAAAACATAAAGAATACAAAAACTTACTGGTCACAAAGGCAAACATTTAACAAATATATTAAAAGATTCGGTGGGTAGACCAGATTATGTGTTTCTTGAAATCATACAGATATGCACTGACAAAATCAAAGTTAATCACCCTAATTTCAAGGTTCAATCATGAGAATTTTCTGGCTAAGCAAACACAGTTAGCAACACTCAAAAAGAGAATTTGATATGAAGGTGTGGTTTACAATAGTTACTAGACTTTAAACATTCTACCATTTCCATACTTTTCTTACACACATGTTCTAAATCGTGTATGCTAGCTCATCAAAAATAGCTTCTATATACTGTTATGTCACTTCAGCAGATTACATCTTCATGGAGACATAGATGTAAAGAACAAAAAAAAAGCACTCTATGCCTAAACCTTGAAAAGAAATTGAAATATCAACCCTGAAAAAGAAATATTCAAACACAGATAGAAATAAAACACACATACACACACACAATCAAACACACAAACAAATACACAAACACAATCAAACACACACATATAACTACACATAAACACACACACATGCACACTCAGATACACATACATACATACACACACACATGCACACACACACACGCACGCAAGCACAAACACACAAACATTCATACATGCATTTACACATCCACACACCCACCCATACACACACACACACACACACACACACACACACACACACACACACACACACACACACACACACACACACACACAGATACACACAAACATACACATAAAGATACAAACACATAAGTGCACGACTAAATTAAAACACAAATACAAATGTATGGAGAAAAAAAAAATTCTTCTAAAACTACGTGAGGCATCGTGGTGGAATCAGGTGCTCGTCAAAATAACGATATCAGAGAAACAGGCATTTTTCCGCTAGTTTAGGAATTCTTTATAGAATTTTTACTTTTTAGCTTAACCTCTTTTATGTCCATATAAAAACACATTTCCACGTGAATTTTATAGAAAAACATTGATTTAAGGCACAAAATATGTCATTTTTCAGTTTCAAAGACTCTTAAGCTATTGGAGTTACAAAACTATGGAGGACATTTTCTCGCTAATTTCACCTCTGAAACCAGGCGACCCTGACCTCCTTCAATTACAAATATTTCGACTTCTATTCAATATAGATGGATATTTTTTCCACCAAAAGCAAGGCAAATGAACAGGCTTTAAGATGATCCACAACGTCGCAACACATATCGTCCAACAACGCAGCACATAATATATGTGGTATTGTGTTCTCGCATCCACAGGCTTAATCTGACAGTATGACACTATGTGTAATTTGCAACTTTTTTTCTCCTAATAATGTAAATGTTAATTGTCATCTTACAAGAAAACAAACATATCCGTGCCACAAGAAACAATGGTTACAAGAAAACAAACATATCCGTGCCACAAGAAACAATGGTTACAAGAAAACAAACAAACATCTCTGAGTCGCAAGAAAACAAACATAACAGTGTTACAAGAAAAACAAGGAAACAAACATATCTGTGTCACAAGAAAACAAAAAAAACATCTCTATGCGGCAAAAAAACAAACAAACATATCTGTGTGGCAAGAAAACAAAGAAACATCTCTGTGCTGCAAGGAAACAAACATCTATGTCACAAGAAAACAAACATCTGTGTCACAAGAAAACAAACAAACATCTCTGTGTCGCAAAAAAACAAACATCTCTGTGTCGCAAAAAAAACAAACAAACATCAGAATCTCTGCGTGGCAAGAAAACAAAGGTTTGTCACAAGAAAACCAAACAAACATATCTGTGAGGCAAGAAAACAAACAAACATCTCTGCATTACCTCCTGGGCCTCAGGGGTGAAGGCCACGACAGACAGAGCCTCGTCCACCATCTCCTTGTGCAGATCCTCCTTCGTGGTGGTGGTCATGTCAAAGCCGGTCACATCAAACACCAGGTCATACACACCCAGTGTGCCTGACAGGCAAAGTTTTAAACAGGTTGTGAGCAGCAGAAAGTCGCAATAGTATGTTCGCATTGCCCATTGGCTTTGGTTTTACTTTGATTTAATCATAAATGCCAAATGAGACACAGAACACATAATAATGACATAAATCTCTCCCATCCCTTTCTTTCAACCTCCTCTCCAGACACTTTCCTCCTGTTCTTCCTCCTCTCTCTCTCCCCCGTTCTCTCTCTCTGCCTCTCTGTCTCTCTATTTATCTCCCCCCCCCCCCAGCCTCTCCATCCAACTCCTACAATCATGGTAACAAGTTATATGGCACTCTTCAAAAATAACCAAAAAAAGATGTACTCTTTTCAGACTCAAACTTCAATCTTGAACATGCTAATCAAGTTTGCAACAATGCCAGAGTGACTACACAGGGATGTCTTACTGGTCCATTTTTATTTTAAAAGTAATCAATACCAGGAGTTCAAATTGTCTTTTGGTTTCTCAAACCAATCAATCTTTTATAAATCACACATTCCTAACAGGACAGGTTCTGAATGTTCTCACATAATTTTCCAACAATGATTAGCAGTCGCATTTGTCACATGTCATCAATTAACAATGAAAGCAATCTCATCAGTCCTAATCACCGGTCAAAAGTGCAAAGAAACAAACACTCTGAAGTAAAAAAAGGCTTTGAAAAAGCATATCATTATATTACCGTGACAATTTCTTCAAAATCGAAGTACAGAATGCTCCAGATATAAGACATTCTCCTTACCGTCGGTGGTTCGTGGGTGTTCTGGTACGGTTTGCGTCTGCTTTCCTACCAAACCATCTATTGTCCTTATCTCTCCTCCTGGTTTTTTATTTTGTGTATGGTAATATCTAGTAACACCTCTAATCTTCAGCACTGATATGACTTAACTGTGTTACTGTAAAACTCCTACTAAAACTTCTTACCACACTGCCTGTTAAAGTGCAGTGGCCGCTCTTTCTTGCCCCAGTACATGAGCAGAGGAACATTCCCACAGGGCATGTGAACCGCATCTGATTTGCCAGCATGCAGGGAGTACAGTGGGAAGGGCAGCGGTTCACTGTTCTTGACCAGGTCCTCGCGAGGTGTGGAGGCGGTCAGCTGGTCTGGCCCGTCATCCATCATGATGGGAATATCCATAGAGTCGGAGAGAGACTCACCGTCCAGGCTGGACAAGGCACTGGTGGGATACAGAGGTGAATCATGGAATAAATGTAACAAAGGCAACTAAGCGATTGAGTTGAAAAACACAGCTGTGCGCACAAACACATACACACATACAAACACATAAACACACACATGCACACAAAGACAGACACATACACACACATAAACACACATACACACACAAAGACACACACATACACACACAGACACACACACATACACAATAACACACGCACACACACACATACACATAAACACACACACACATACACACAAACAAACATACTCAACCACTCACATACAACACATACACACATACATGCACATAAACACACAAAACCACCACCACCACCACCACACACACACACAACACCAACAAACACCAACACACACACATACACACACACATACTCCACTGTATATATACACAACAAACACACACATACACACACACACACACACATAATTATTACATAATTGAATCTCTATCAGACCTCCTCTCTCATATACTATGATTGTTTCTATGTCTCCTATGTTGTTCTTGCTGTTGTTATTGTTATCGATCCAGTAACAGCTGTGCTCTTGCCCTTCTGTCCAATGTCATGTTGTGATAAGTGCAGGTTTGCTGCAGTCGCTGTAATGTTCCATGGAGTGTATGTGTTGTCAATGTTAGGTCACAGAGAAGGAAGTGTAACTCTAATGTCATTAACCCATGTCTTTCCAACTTTTACTGCACCAAATTTTCTGGTAAAATTCTGTTTAAAGCTATTGTAGTGCAGTTATAAAATCCCATACGGTGTACACAGTAAGGTCCACGCGATTGACATAATCGGTTGATTTTAAGACATACATTGTACAGAAGGATGGCATCTTGGCACACATTGTTGGACGTACTGTGTACGTGAGCTGTCATGAAGGGGTAAAGGGCTGCACAGTGGAACAGATGATGATCCAAAGTGTCATATTAACTGCTCTGTGTGAGAGTACGTCACACATCACTTTTCAAAACGGCATATGGCAGAGTCTTTTGCTAAGCAGTCGATATGTGTAATCACACAAAGGACACATTGAGGGGAAGCTCTTGTCACTAAGTTAGTGTTTTAGCGCCTATAAAATGGCAGCTTTCACAGAATGCTTCCCAGGAAGTTGAGATTGTTTCAGAATACTATCAGGTCTGCAGGGGTAATAATATAAATTTCAAAGCGCATTGAGCTTGCTGTTGAGCGGGTATTTTCGATATAAAAATGCTATCTATTATTATTCTGTTTAAGTGGAAGTTGAGCTGTATATTTTCTATTCGCAAGCAGATAATCAGGATACGTCTCCTTCAAAAACTACAATTTTTCAAAACTAACTGTACAGAAGAGGTAACTTTCACCTACCTGACAGAGTTAGCCCTGGACTTGTCTTTTATAACTTCATCATCACCGTGTGGCGGGGGGAGCAATACTGTCTCCAGAGTCTGTGGACAAAGAAGTCACATACTCAAACACAATACTAACTCATTCACTACATCATTTTTTTTTCATTTGGACATCATCATTTTCTGGAACTCAGAATGGCATATTTATAGAGTACATCTACTATTAGATGCTTCACAGTGAGAGGATGGTGGGCACATCTAAAATTAGGCGCATCGTAGAGAAAGAGTTAACAAACATCTGAGTGTCACGACAGTAAAAGTATTGGACAAAGGTATGTGTTTGATGATGGCAAACTTGTAAAAATTCTAGTAATAGTTTTACAGCACTTGCAACACAATTGAAAGAATTCAAAGAATACGAGGAGAAATAAAGAAAATTGATGTTTGATAGGAAAGAAGGAGCATACCGCACTAGAGCACCCGTCATCCACCCATATTGATGGTAAACAAAGAGTTACAGGAAACACAACTGAGTTGAAGGGAAGTACACTGACACAAAACTGATCACTTAACCTTATCCGTACGTCATGTTTTACTATTGTATCCATACGACGTGGGGAACTCTGTGCCCCCATTTTCCAAAGAGGAAATTTACTCGTTAATCTGATCCGTATGCTTTGCATAGCAGTCCGTCAAAATGATTTTTTGAGAAATACCGAAAGTTTCAAAGAGATTTTCACACTAGAAGTATTTTAAAATGTGAAGAATACAACACCTGGGGTACAAAATGACCCCAGACATACGGATAGGGTCAAATCCCTGCAGACCCACGTCATATAAGCTGGGGTCAAAGTCTTGTTTCAGCTGTTTACCTTTGCCACAACCTTTGTGCTTTCTGGGTTGAGATTCTTTAAAAATATATTCATGTCAGTTAGTTGAGTCACACTGGTTTTCTTTTAAGAATACAGGTGTTACAGGAGAGTAGCAACATAAAAAAGATGGAGGAGAGATAAGGACAATAGATGTTTGATAGGAAAGAAGGAGCAAGCCACACCAGAGCACCTGTCAACCACCCATCCACACACAGCAAGAAAACAACTTTTGACTTATGACATGAGTAAACAACTCACCAACTCCTTAATATCTTTGAAGTCTATGGTTGCCATAGCAATTATTTCCTCAAACTGCCCCTGATGTACAGTAATACGCAGGTTCTCCGGCTCTGGTGGAGGTTTCTCTCCATAGATGACAATCCCCTCCTTGACTTCATCAGGCAATGGAATCTCATACTCGTAAAACCTGGAAAGATGTGAAAGGAATAAAAGAATAATGAAATATAAAAGAAATAAACATATAAAAAAATAAGAAGTCCTTAGACAAGTGGACTTCTTGGACAGCGTCAATTTAATATTTTAAAGAAAAACGACGGTGGGAACTCGGAAATGGTCTTTTGTGCTGGTGATTGTCTTAGACAGGTGCATAATAGGGTGGCTGTCACAGTGGGTTTGATTGTATCCTGTAGCTTACACAAAGTAGGAGTTTGTTCTTAAAGTACAGTTCAAAATGACTAAGATGGCCACCCAATGTCGAGAAGAAAAGTAGCTGTCTAATACAGGTGGCCATCTTATAAAGTAAAAAAAAAAAAAAGCACTCTGGAGAGGAAATGTGAAGTGGCTATTTGTACAGGTGATTGTCTTATACGGGTGACTGTTAGAACAGTACCTCCATTTGAGACATAAAACAGAATGCTTACAGCAGCGCTGGTGGTGACAGCTGTCTTATTTTGTAAGAACTGTTGAAAATGTTTTTGTTATGGAGTGCTCCATCTGGCATTGTACTATCTCTAAATACAACAAATTTCTCTTTACACTTTGTTTTCCATTAACCACTGTCCTTCCCTATGTGTATAATTCTAAGAGAATAGTACAAAGGAGAATGAACCCCAGAAGAATTAGAAGAGCGTCAAATTCATATCACAGATTCATTAGGAGCAAAAGACATAGTAATATTCCTAAGAATTAAGTGAACATCTAAAGAGCAGCAATTCATTATAATAAACATTATCTCGTAATAGTAAAACATAGGACAGTTTGAGTACCACCAAAAATAAGAAAACTTTAACATAAGTGAGTGCAGAGAACATAAATAAAGACATCATATTTCAATCTACAGTTCAACAATTAAATTGTGATATATTTCTTCTTTGTTCCTCCTTTCCTTTTCAATAACTCTATTCCCAAACCTGATTAATTTAACAAATACATACTCCTTCAGTGTTTAATTCAAACAACTGTTCCTTCTTTCTCACTTTCAATTCATGCTCACAGTTAAGTCATTTCTTAGAAACACAACCTGGATATATCAGTAACAGATAAATTAAACCCTGACCTTTTCTGTTTGGCTTTGCTCTTGCTTGACCCTTGGTCAGACTGGGAAGCTGATCGATGAAAGAAAAAACCCACAGAAGTCAGATGCTGGAGGCAGTAGCATACATAGTACATAGGCTCAACTCAACAAATGAAATATCACAGCTCAACTCATAATTCTGTGACATAACTCATAGTACATATATAAGTCTTGTTTCTCTGGACACACTTGACCCTTGATAGGTGGTAATATATTTTCAAAATAAGTACACAATATGTAATCGAAGTAGGTCTCACCTTTTTTTTCATGAGTAAGACAACAAAAACTTTATTCATTATCTAGGCCTAAATATAGACAAGCAACTTCATCTCTGCATTGCTTGTAGATCTGTACTATAAAGAGATTTCTGACTTACAAGTCGGAACTGTTGTGTGACCTTGTGGCAAGCCGTTATGTAGGTGAAGGGAAGGCAAGGAGGTTCAATTTGATTTTGGCTTGAGATGGACAGGAAAGGTAAACTTTAGCCCTCCATTTGGAACTTATTGGATCAAGAATGCACATCAGGGGACTCCACCCTCAATGGGGCCAAATTTGTGTCCCTGTCACAACATATATATAAATATATA